GTTTCCTAATGGACCTTTGTAATTCTTCTCTCCCTACCCCTAGACCCTCTCCCCTCCCAGGCTACCACTGATCTGTTTTCTGTCACTGAAGATTAGTTTACATTTTCTAGAAATGTATATAAATGGAATCGCATACTATGTGTTCTGTTTTTTGTTTGACTTCTTTCACGTTGAGATTTCATCTAGGTCGTGGCAAGTGTCAGTAGTGCACTCCTTTTCATTGCTGGATAATATTCCATTGTCTGACTAACTATTGTTTATTATTTATCCATGTACCAATTGCTGAACACTTAAGATGTTTCCATTTTTAAAAAATATATTTTTATTGATTTTTAGAAAGAGAGGGAGAGGGAAAGAGAAACATCGATGTGAGAGCACAACATTGATCAGCTGCCTCCTGCACGCCACCTACCAGGGATCAAGCCTGCAACCCAGGCATGTGCCCTGGCCAGGAATCAAACTGGCAACCTTTTGGTGCATGGGACAATGCCCAACCAACTGAGCCACACCAGGCAGGGCAAGATGTTTCCAGTTTTTAACTATTACCATAAAATGCTGCTGTGAACAGTCCTATATAAATATGCTTTCATTTCTATTGAGGTATAATTCACTTATCACATTTTAGGTGTACTATTCTCTTTGATAAATGTATGTAGCCTACAAATTGACAGACATACACAATCAGGGAACCACCGCCACAATCAAGCTATAGCGTATTTCCATCACCCCAAAAGTTCCCTTGAGCCCCTTTTCTCCACTACTAGTGCCTGGCAACCACTGATCTCATTTCTGTCCCTGCAGCTCTGTCTTTAGAATGACATGTAAGTGGAATCATCAAATGTGTACTTATTGGCTCAGGTAGTTACAAAGGTCATCCCAGGTTCAAGGGGGAAGAAACATCAGTGGGAGGACAGTAACATCCCATCGTGAGAATGCATATCAAGATGGGATATGTGTATATTGATGCAGCTATCTCTACAAAATATGATTTGCCACATACTGCATCAACTTTATCCCCAGCTTTACTTCTTCCCATCCACTCTCCGTACTGAAGCCAACACCGCTAAAAAACAAACAAGCAAGAAGCTTATTTATTTGCCTAAAGTATTCCTAGAGATCTCAGCAGCTTGTTTACACGTGAAAGTAACCGGTTTATTCTTTGCTCTTTCCTTACTGATGTACAGTCCACCACTCTCTACCACGACGGTTGCTTTTAATCAAAATGTACAGGTTGGCCACCAGCTGTAATTTACTCATAGGTAGCATGTCATTTAAGTACAGAGCATTTCAACCAATGCAGCATTTCTCAAAGTGTAATCGAAGGGTCGCCTGCAACAGGTGGTGTGTGGGGAGGGCCCCCAAATTTGTATTCAAATGAAGAATGCCATGTGATTCTAAGGTGCACTGAAGTTCAAGAACCACTAATTAACATTTCTCTGACCTGCCCAGTTAAACGAATGAGCCAATTTCATTTCACGTTCCTCTACTTTGCCCAGCTTCTCCTTGATACCCCCTTCATTTGCAGCCAGCCAAGCGAAGAGCGATGGAGAAGATTAGACATGCAGACTTGGAACTGGGGTAGCTTCTTCCCGACTGCAGGCAGCCCTGTCTCCTCAGCTTGCCTTGCTGCCTTTGAGATGAACCCAGTGGTTTCATTGAGTTGAGCTTGGTCTGTCCATTTAATGTTTCAGGGCCTTGACCCACTGTGCTCCTTCAATCTAGACTGTTTTTCTTTCCCAGCTCCACCCTTCCAAAAGTCATCTAATTATTAGGACCCTCCAAATAATCCTTCTGGAGTTCCTCGGCCCTTTCTGCTGTGCCCCTGGTAATCCATACAAGTGCCCACTCAGATAGTCAACAAATATCTATTCATCACCTACTATGTGCCAGGTACTGTTCTAGGACTTGGGGATTGTACTTCCACGGAAAAAAAGAGATAAAAATCCTTGTCCTTACGGAACTGATATTCTCGTGAAGGCAGACAATAAGAAAATCATATGCGATGTTAGCAGGGGAGACAGGAGTGGAAGGGGTGGGTTCCAATACAAGGACAGTGGCGGGCGAGCCTCGCTGAGAAGACACGAAGGCGGGCGTGGAGAGCGCAGCACAGCGCTGCCTCCCGGGGCGCGGCGGC